TGTCAACATGCAGTTCCATTCTCACATGTAAAATGTAAACAGTGTTTCATTTTGGCAACTGATCCTGACCTACAGATTATGCAGAACAGTGCCAACTCTATTCTTCAACCTCCACATGAGTAACACAGGTTCAGGTCAGCCATATGACCATGGCTTGCCAGCTAAGAAAATTACACCAGCAAACAGCTGTAAGATGGCTTGTTGTTTATTTGCGGTAATTAGTTTTAAATTCCTGTGGCGCTTGCTTTCTTATATAGGCTACATTAATACTTTCTGTGGCTTTTTAAGAACTAAAGAAAAAAAAAAAAAGCCTTCAGACTATTTCTACCTGCCGAAGGCTGTTTCTCATTGTACCGTTTCATCATAAAATTCAAAGCAGAAATCAGATTTCAGTGATTTCTTTCATCCTAGGTCTCCTTGCCGATTAAAGACTCTGATTTATAGGATATATTGTAAATAAAAGCTCATATCCTAAAGGGTTAAAACAAGTTCTCCCCCCATATGATGTACACCGCTACTACTTTTTTTTTTGCTTTACACAGTCACTCAGCAGTCTTTAATGCGGCTATCCAGCTGTTAACAGTTTTTATTTCTTTGTAATAAACCACTAAACTCCACATTGTAAAATAATTTGGAGGCCCATTAGCACAGCAATAAACATGGACTGTCCCTGCCAGGGATCCATTGTTTAACTTTTCCCAAACAGTGGTTTACCCTTCCACATTCTTCTCCCTGCAGTATCATTTCTTCCTCCTCATTTAATTCCACTGCAGGTTCTCCTTCATAGGCTTCTGTTGAATGAGCAATCTCTAGCAAAGTAACCAACACCGCCCACAGCTGTATCCCACAATAGGCCCATGCTGCTAGCATTACGTTTTCTGAAGGATTTGGTCACGCTGCCCTAACTGCTGCACACACTAGCCTTATTCATAAAAACGTGCAGAAGGAGGGATTTTCAGCAGGATTCCTTTACCTGTTTCCCCACCACAAAACAGTGAAATAAATAGATTGGGTCATAAGATGCTTGGCCTGAAATGCAAACCAACAGCTTGACAAGTCAATAAAGAGCCACCCATTCTTACCCAAACACAGAGAAAGCTAAGGTTAAGGGCAAACACAATTTGAATATGACCAAGAGGGGCACCTTAATGAACCCTAGTCTTCAGTTTCGGAATACAAAACACTAAGGTTAGTGCTATTTAAATGGCCAGACCAGAGCTGAGATGGGCTGCATACCTTTACGCATTTATGCATCTCAAAACAACAGATAGAATATTGGAGCTCACCAGTAGTAATACATTAGAGCAAAAATATGGAAATTTGGATTAATCTAAAACTACAGATAATCAATGAGACTGTAGGCTCTAAAAAATTAGACTGTAGGCTCTAAAAAACAAAAACAGTTTTGTAAATTACTGGATTAATTTAGAAAGGTCTTAATTTTTTAAGTAATTAAGAAATCTATGAAAACAAACAACAATACCTTTAACAGTTGATCCAATTTAAAGCTTAAAATACATTAAATATAAAATTTAAGGCTTTCCAAAACGAAACCAGAACTCCAGCCAAAACTTTTTTTCTTAAATTCTTTTGCGTAATTGGCGAAAGGTTGGAACCTTTGTTATGTTTCTACTGCGGTCTGTGTTTCCGTAAGGAAGATCCCTTCACTTGTTAGTTTTCACCAGGACTGGAGAGATATCATTCAATGGGGACATGAACTTGTGACAGCCTGAAGTAAGGATCTCCCATCACTTGTTGTGTTTCAGGGGCAAAAACTGAAGGAAAATTTCCGTGATGGCACACAAACCCCAATTTAGTAGTATTTCAGTCAGTGGCTACCATTGATCCACTGGTATCAAACTAATGTACAAAGAGTGGGTTCACCTTTAATGACTTTTGCCAAAAACATCCCCAAGCATTACAGTGTCCTCGGTACATTAGCATGTAATGCTCAGTTTCGTAAAAGAATGCTTACTGCTTAAGCTGTTTATTTCAATGCTGTGCCCTCGTGGTCTTGCAGACGGCAGAATGTATCGAGTATTGGATGCGTGGCCCTAGAAAACTCATGAACAAGCACTCTTTTCCCTACCCAAGCATGCACACTCCACTGTCCCAGAAAGCTGAGCAGGGGTAGGGAATGAAGGTGAGGGATTGTTTATGAGTATGGTGGGGTGGGGTGGGGTGAGTATGGTGGGGTGGGGTGGGTAAGGCGGGGTGGGGTAAGACAGGGTGGGGTGGGGTGAGCACTCACCCAATGTTTGGTATGTCCTACCATCTAACGAATTGAGAGGATGATGAAATGCTGAAAAACTATTCTTTAACAAATTATGCACTGCATGTACTTTGGCTAAAAACATTGCCAAGCATTATTATGGCCTACGCCAGTAGATGAACTCAACCTTAAATGGCAATAATAGATATATCTGACAAGTTATTCTTTGTCCTGCATGAAACCACTTCTATTTTCTCCCTCTTCTAGAAAGTAATGGGCAAGGAAAAAAAAAAACTTCAGACATGAATGCTAATTTGCATTGTGCATGAAACTTATTTCCTACATAAAGTACCTCAGTGTCCAGTAGATGCCATATCTTAAGCACCTGCTGGCATTAAATCAATTAGTGATCAGTGACTTGATAACCGTGCAGAGAAAATGCTGTAATGCACTGTTCAAATACAACATTAAGAAGCAGTCTTAAATATTTTAAGTCCAAATGAACTAACACCACCTAACCCATTATGGATAAGATCTGTTAAAAACATTAAAACACAATTTATGGAAGCTGTGGCCAGAGATAAGCTTAATTTGCAGACTGACCTTTTATTTATTTAGGAAACCAAATGAGTTCTAATTGCATTAGAATTGAATCCAGTAAATTTCCCTGAAATACTAATTTGGCAGCCATGGAATTGGTATGTCGGCAAAAGCGGTTATTGTAAATGGCAGAGTGTACAGTACAATCAGATTGCTGAATTATTTTTCTCTTCAGAAACACCATTTTCCTGAGCAAGAGACAGAATACACAGTTCCAGACAACAGAAAAAGATGGAGAATAAGTTAACAGATGAAGGGTGCCTGTTCAGCTCAATAGTCATTGATAAATGGCGGAAGAAAATGCAGAACAGTCGCACTCCTCATATGCTTTTATTTCCAGTATACCAGTACAAACTTCACATATCAGTGGGGGAAAAGAGATGTCAATGCGCTTCACAGTTAGTTGTAACCTACGATTGTCACCATTAAGCATGGAACACGTTAACATCGCTGCTTCCCCCCCATTGATGTGTGATGTCTGTACTGGTATACTGCCAATAAAAGCATATGAGGAGTGCGGCTGTCCTAGATTTTCTTCCCCCCAAGATTAGATCCATCTATGGGCAGTCCGGATTTTACTGAAGTCGGTCCATTGACCGACTTCAGTACAACCAGCTTGTCATGATTTTTGCATGTGATGGCTAAAGCCACCAGCCGTAATCATTGTGTTCTGGCGGCAGGGAAAGCTCCCTGCCGGCAGAACATAATAGCTCAGTGGGAGGGATTTCCCCATAAACACTGACTGTGCCAATCGATTGGCCTGCCTAAGATACATTCCTGAGCTTAAACATAATTGAAATACGCCTGAAACATGAGACGCCCATCCATAAAATAAACACTCAAATTGAAAATATTGAGCCGATTGGTTGCCCTATTAAAGCAGTTGGCTGACCCTCCCAATACTGATCCAGAGTATATATACAAATCAGGAAACCTAGGGTATGACCAAAGTCTTTATCTGCATACTTGTAGTTCCATGATTCCAGGTATTAAAGCTAAAGGGTCAGTATGATGGTCAGGCAACTGGCATTATCAGAAAAGGCCATTATCAAGGTCATCCTATATATTTCCTTTAAGGCCCACACCCAGAGCAGGGTTCCGAAAGCAAGACATAGAAGCAAAGAAATAAAATTGAATGTGTTGATGGGGCAATCAAGCTGTGTCGATGGAGGAATCTCTCCTGCAGCACTATCTTATACAAAAAATCTGACAGGCTGGTTTTACTGAAGTTGATTGATGGATTGAATTCAGTACAACCAGCCTGTCCATAGATGGATTGAATCTTGACTGGTTCAGCAGAGACTAGCCAAGATTTGATCCATTTATGGCCAGCTTAATACCTTCTAATACCCCTCTTCTCTGTGGTCATTACTGTCACTATAGAATAGTTAAAGTGTTACTAAACCCGGACCCTGCATTCACTATATCTAGTCTCCCACAGTACACAGAAATGAAATTATTTTAGTAAACAAACTGATAAATACCTTTTCTCATCAACAGTTAGAACAGTCGTGTGACTTCTATCAGTGTTTGGCTGAGCACTGATTAAAGCATGTAGGAGGAGTTATCATTCTCCTCTGACTGTCCTATGAGGCTGCATGACCCCTAACCCTCTGTCTAGACAGTGCTGATTGGCCCTGTGATGATCACATACACTCTCCCAAAAGGCAAAAACACAAAAATTCTCTAGCAATACACAACAAACTGAGTATGTGCAGAGTGACTCCTAGAGCTCTGTACTATCAGCAGATGGATTGGGGACAGTAGAAAGGAGGATCAGAGAAGACTGGATCAAACAGCCTTTTTACACAATGCAGAAGATTAACCCCTTAGTTTCACCAGCGAATATAACAAGCTTTCTTTACTGCATATACAGACTGATTTTACTGTTGTGGGTTTAGTAACACTTTAAGCTCTCCCCCCAAAAGGTTGAATGGAGAATTAATGTGAAAAGGCTGACACAGTCAGGTAACTTCAAGCTTATAGACCACCTTGCTAGAACTTAAGCCTGTCAACACAGACCCTTATAGGACAGTTTTACTTATATTAGGTTTTGCATTCCAAAGTTGAGTGTTGAAGTCATCTAGACAAGGCCAAAGCATGTTACTATTGGTACTAAACTACAATACAATGTCTGACCAGAATCAAAGCATCACACTGAACAGTGACAAGACTGTATAATACTTACATTGTATCTTGACCTGCACCAACCCTAAGTGTCAGCCGGGGGATTACAGGTGAAGGAGCAGGAACAGGTATCTCTACTTTGGCTTGCTGAAATATAAGAATGTGATAAGGTTGTAAGCCAAGTAATAAAATGTAATATAACAAGCGTTAACTTTTCATAAGACTGGACATATAACCTCAATATTTATAATAATAAAAAAAAAAAAAAAACGGAAAAATATTAAAAACATGCAAGTCTTCAATGTGCCTGGCTGTCGTATGAAAAAGGAAAAGAAAGATAAGCAGATTAAACAAAGCTCAACTGTTCCTTCAATAAGCAAATGTTCACAGCGCCCCTACAACTTTACAGCAAAGACTCTACAGTCGGGTTTGAGTCGGTTTCTAATGGCTTGGCATGCTTCGTGTTATCATTGGAAAGCCGTAAGTCTGCCACAAACAGCTCTCAAAAAAAAAAAAAAAAGTGCTTTTGTTGTAAACTTTGAAAATTACTTTCTTCACAATGCTTATAGATACAGAGATGAATGAGAGCTTTTTTTAAAGTGAACCTATGGCCAGCCTATGCAAACCAATATATATACATATTCTGAGCATGCAATAAAAGAGCTTTAAAACAAAACATCATCTACCTCTAGAACTATGGACATTAGAGAGAAACTTGTTTTCAAAGTCTGATGAAATCTTAGCAATTTTTCTATTACAACAGAAGCTTGCCAGCCCTCTAATGAAAACAAATCTGCAGGCTTTTCTAGAAAAGAACTGAGACCAGACTTTAGGCTAGAATCTTTGTTGTGATCTTAGAAAAATAATAATTTTACATGAAAAGCAGTTGGATTAAACCACACTACAAAATATTATATTGCAGCTTAAAAATTCAACATATGCTGGCTGCATTAGTTTCTTTTTTTAGGCTTTGACTTTTATTTTCATCTGGTAATTCAGCCAGTAAGTCTTATTTTTAAACAGGCTAAGCTATCCAGCAAAAGTGGACGTTAGAGAGGTGAAACAAACCATTTAATACTGACAGGTGTGCTTACAACATTCAGCTTTTATTTATATAAAACCTTCTTTATGTAAAAGACAATTTAAATCTGCTAGTTCATCAAACACACTACCATCTCCCCAGATTGAGAATGCTGCTCTTCAAAGATGTCTTTGTTGCTTCACCATAGAGTGGAGACACCCTAAGACAAAAGTGTGCGTTAATCTGCCCATATACTACTAGTAAAATTGTATTAAGAACGCATATTCTCTTTTCTAATACTAGGCTCTAATTGGTGTTTATGTTCAACCAGAGTGATAAAAAAATTCAAATGGAGCAGATAGAAATTTGTTCCAGAAAAAATTCCAAACAGTGAATGTGGTTTTCATTCGGGGAAGTCAATTCACTACAAAAAAAATGTTAAAAGTGTTTTCAAGTACTTCCAAAAGACATCGGTCAAGTTGTACAGATGAGATTTTTCAGACAAATAATTGTACTACTGGTTGTTCGAAAATCTACCAGTGTATGGCCAGCCTTACTTGCCAGATCATGAGGTGAAAATAAAGGGGGAAAAAAAACCTTTAAAAAGCCACAACAATTAGGATTGGTAAACTGCAATACATTAAACTTTTCATTTTGGTTTTAATAAAGCTTAGTTACATACATAGTTGGTAAGGCTGAGTAAAGACACCAGTCCATCCAGTTCAATCTGTGTGGGTATACATGTGTTTATGTCAACACCACTTCCCATATCCCTGTACATTGCATTTGCTAAGGTGCCCATCTAAATTGTTTTTTTTTTTTTAACTATCAACAATTCCAGCTGACACCACTGACTGTGGAAGGGAGTTCCACATCCTTGAAGCTCAAGTAGTAAAGAACCCCCTACGTAGTTTAGGTTGAACTGATTCTCCTCCAATCTCAATGAGTGGCTGCGTGTCTTCTTAACCACTTCACATCCGGACACTTTCACCCCTTCCTGTCCAGGCCAATTTTCAGCTTTCAGTGCTATTACACTTTGAATGACAATTGCGCAGTCATGCAACACTGTACCATATGAATTTTTTTGCATTTTTTTTTTAGACAGAAAAAACTTTATTTTGGTGGTATTTATTCACCACTGGGGTTCTTATTTTTTTTTTTTTTGCTATATAAATGAAAGTCCAAAAATTTTGAAAAAAAGTGTTTTTCTTATAACATTTTGCAAATAAATAATCTTTCTTCATAAATCTTAGCCAAAATTTATGAAGTTATCTTTTTAGTAAAAAAAAAAATAACCCAAATTAGTTTATAACCAAAATTATAATTTAAAAAAATTTTTTTTTACATTTTTATATTATTTATGTTTTTTTTTATATACCGTCACCCTAGCAGTACAGTGTAACCATAGTGACACTGTACTACTTGTGGGGGGTGATAAATTTTTTTTTTTCTTTTTTACACTGATTGCTTTTATACCCAAAAAGGCTGTAAAAGCAATCATTTCTCCTCCTCTCTGGCTGCATTCTTGCAGCCATTGATAAATACTGTGTGAGCTGTGATTGGTCACAGCTTGTCACATGGTACAAGGCTGTTGTGAATAGCCTTGTACCATGTGATCTGTGATCATTCACAGATTTCATACGTAGTAAGCAATGATGTCAGAAGTGACATCTTGCTTACTCTTCATGTGATCACTGATTGGCCAATCAGTGATCACATGATCGGGACCTCACACAGAGGTCCCATACAACTATCGGTGTTTGTAAACGGCCACCTGCCTCTGCACTGCTCCCATCCGGCCGTTTATATACATGGGCCAGACAGGAAGTAGTTAAGCTCCCTGAAACTAAATATTTTTCTCCCTATGCTAGAATCACCATTGATGTATTTGTATATTTTAATCATATTTCCATTTAAGCTATTTTGTTGGTAATTAAGAATATGTAATTAGTTTAAAGTCCACAGTCTGGGCACAGGTGCATTTTCAAGTTCTTTTACAGCTTGTTCAGAATAAGTACATACCTTGGTGTGCTTGATCTGGGCACAGGTGCACTGTAAGGCTGATCTTCAGGCGCCACATTTTTTTTCCCCCTTCAAAACCCTCCCTATCCCTCTCTAGACCAGTCACTGCTAGAAACGTTATTACGATACCTTGTTCTTGGGTTGAGGAAAATCAGAGTTTTGTCCCCAGCGAGGTCAAGATGTTTATTTAAGAAGCACTGCAAGCTGCAGCATACAGGAGGAGGGATCTGCAGGATGCCCAAGTCATATGTGTGGGTGGGCACTTAGGGATGTAGGCAGAGCAAGGGGGGTAACTCCCCTGTCACCACTATAGATGCCAGCAGCATTGCATTCTTGCAATGGGAAGCCTGCATCATATCAAAACCACAAAGCTCTGCTACAGCCCATTACCCACATGGAAGAAAAATATATTTTAAAAATATTCTTCCCAAATATATTGGCATATTTTTGAAATGCTACAATTTTGGCCAATTCAATATATTTCACTAAATATATATCAATAAGGAAATAAATATATATATATATATATATATATACATATATATATATATATATATATATATATATAGACACATACACAGGTATAAAAAAATTTGAATATCGTGCAAAAGTTCATTTATTTCAGTAATGCAACTTAAAAGGTGAAACTAATATATGAGATAAACTCATTGCATGCAAAGCAAGATAGTTCAAGCTGTGATTTGTCATAATTGTGATGATTATGGCTTACAGCTCATGAAAACCCCAAATCCACAAATCAGAAAATTAGAATATTGTGAAAAGGTGCAATATTCTAGGCTCAAAGTGTCCCACTCTAATCAGATAATTAAGCCATAACCTGCAAAGGGTTCCTGAGCCTTTAAATGGTCTCTCAGTCTGGTTCAGTAGGAATCACAATCATGGGAAAGACTGCTGACCTGACAGTTGTGCAGAAAACCATCATTGACACCCTCCATAAGGAGGGAAAGCCTCAAAAGGTAATTGCAAAAGAAGTTGGATGTTCCCAAAGTGCTGTATCAAAGCACATTAATAGAAAGTTATGTGGAAGGGAAAAGTGTGGAAGAAAAAGGTGCACAAGCAGCAGGGATGACCGCAGCCTGGAGAGGATTGTCAGGAAAAGGCCATCCAAAAGTGTTGGGGACTTTCACAAGGAGTGGACTGAGGCTGGAGTCAGTGCATCAAGAGCCACCACACACAGACGGATCCTGGACATGGGCTTCAAATGTCTTATTCCTCTGGTCAAGCCGCTCTTGAACAACACACAGCGTTAGAAGCGTCTTACCTGGGCTAAAGAAAAACACACCTGGTCTGTTGCTCAGTGGTCCAAAGTCCTCTTTTCTGATGAGAGCAACTTTTGCATCTCATTTGGAAACCAAGAACCCAGAGTATGGAGGAAGAATGGAGAGGCACACACTGCAAGATGCTTGAAGTCCAGTGTGAAGTTTCCCCAGTCTGTGTTGATTTGGGGAGCCATGTCATCTGCTGGTGTTGGTCCACTGTGCTTCATTAAGTCCAATGTCAACACAGCCTTCTACCAGGAGATTTTGGAGCACTTCATGCTTCCTTCCACAGACGAGCTTTATGGGGATGCTGACTTCATTTTCTAGCAGGACTTGGCACCTGCCCACACTGCCAAAAGCACCAAAACCTAGTTCAATGACCGTGGGATTACTGTGCTTGATTGGCCAGCAAACTTGCCTGACCTGAACCCCATAGAGAATCTATGGGGCATTGCCAAGAGAAAGATGAGAGACATGAGACCGAACAATGCAGAAGAGCTGAAGGCCACTATTGAACCATCCTGGTCTTCCATAACACCTCAGCAGTGCCACAGGCTGATAGCTTCCATGCCACGCCGCACTGAGGCAGTAATTGCTGCAAAAGGGGCCCAAACCAAGTACTGAGTTTGTATGCAAGCTTGTACTTTTCAGAGGTCCGATATTGTTCTATGTACAATCCTTGTTTTATTGATTGCATGTAATATTCAAATTTTCTGAGATTGTGGATTTGGGGTTTCATGAGCTGTAAGCCATAATCATCACAATTATGACAAATCACGGCTTGAACTATCTTGCTTTGCATGTAATGAGTCTATCTCATATATTAGTTTCACCTTTTAAGTTGCATTACTGAAATAAATGAACTTTAGCATGATATTCTAATTTTTCGAGTTTCACTGCGTGTATACGCACACTGTATTTTGAAATGTGTTTATAATACAAAATATATGAAAAATATTTTTAAAAACACCTTTCAAATATACTATATGTCTCTAAAAGTACAAATCTACATTTTTGGAATGCATTTACAATTATATGTATAAATATATGTTAAATAAAAATAGGAGGAATATATTTTTTCAAATATATTCTGCAGATATTTCTCATATATTTTGTAATAAAAACTCATTTCAACATACAGTGTGTGTGTGTGTGTATATATATATATATATATATATATATATATATATATATAATATAATTTTTTTTTTTTTTTTTTATATTAAATATGGCCAAAAAATTGTAGCATTTCAAATATATGTCAATATATTTGGAAGGAATATTTGTAATATTTGTAAATATAATTTTCTTCCATCAACCCTGCTATAATATATTTATATTGAATATAGCCAAAAAATCCATTTCATGGGGAATAACCTTCTGCTATGAAAGCGATTCTCTAATCAATGCTTTGCTTTCAATGGCTCTAGCACCAAAAATACAGCCCTACCTACTTTGCTACCAAGAGCTAAGGGACCCTGATTGGAGAAGATGATATGGAGAGGCAGAACCATAGACAGTGCAGCACTGATCACAGGAACCTCATTATAAGTAAATGTACAGCGAGACCAAGCAGGACAGTTATTTATTTTTTTCCCCCCTCCTGGTTTGTGAACTTGCCCGTGTCATTATTAAATAGCATACACACTGAAAAATTCACAAATTAGAAAAATCTCATCCATCCACAAAGCTAGCAAAAACAATTTTTCCATTTGTCACAATACTACATACAGTATGTACATATACAAAAACAGTGGAAAATGCATCTGCAATACTTGCTCAATAAGTCCTTTGCAGGGATGATGGGATTCAGAGTACTTATATCGATAATATTTTTTCCAAACTGTATTTTGTACCATTTTAAAATGGGAACGTAACCATCATGAGTTAAGCTGACATCTGGTCTCTTGGGAACTTTCAATCCTGAAGTTTGGAGTGTTATTTCAAAGCTATCCAAATCAGTAAAAAGTCAAAACACTGCAATACAACACCCTTTTGTAACCACCTTACTATACATTGTGCGTGGATTCGTAGATTTTATAAGCTGTGAGTTTGGGAATAAGGCGATTAGTTGTGTACATAGTAAGGGAGGTTGTCCAGTTAGATGTATAAGCATCCCTCCCTTTACCTGAACTAATTCTAGAAGCCTTTTAAACCCTCCTCCGCCATGTGCGGCATTTTTTGCTAATCTTCATGGATTTAGTTGCCTAGCCACATACCTCGGGGCACCAACCGATAAGGCTTTAACTCCCTATTGCTCCCAAAACCCAGCAGAGCAGCAAAAAGCTAGGCAAATATGCCTGCAGTTTCTAGGGGGACCAGTTTAAAATCCTGACTTGCAGGAGAAAGGTGGATTTAAGAAACACTTATCAGCTATTCGCTTAACAATTTAATTCAGTATGGGAATTCTTCAAGCAGGGCAGCTTTACAGTTTATCTTCTTTACTGGGCTTTCTGATGGCTAGTGGGCAGTCCTGTCAATTTAATCTGTTGTTATTGCTTTTCTCAGTTTCTTTCTCACTCCTTTTTTTAAGCTTAAAAAGACAACAAGATTTTCACATTCGCATTGCTATGTATCTAAGATAACCTGTACACACCGAAGTCTTTAAACCAGACATACTTTTAAGTTAAATAGTTAAAAGTAATTGTTATGAATTAGATCTCCACCTTTGATTTGTTACTACACAGAGGTGTTCACATTTCAGACAACCACCTTGGGAATAGGCGCTGTTTACACTGCTTAACAGAAAATGTCACTAAAGCTGGCCATACACAGTTTTTTTTTTTTTTTTTTTTGGCCACCTCGTTTGTGTGGATGGAGAAATCCCCTTTGCCCAGACATGGTAATTTAAAAGCTGCTGAGAAAGGGGAAAAAGTGCCTCTAAGAATAGTACAAATTAATTTATTAGAAAATCAAAAGGTCTACTCAAATGTAAATTAAAAAACAGGCTCATCTATATGGTGAACATCCGAATGGTGGAAAGCCAGCAGTCTGAAGGACACCAATATGGAGGAGAAGGCCAACCACTGCTCATCCAGGATCACAATGAATGTGGTGGAGCTCCATAACCAGGAGGAGGAGGAGGAGGAGTTCAACGTGTTTCAGAGCATGCCTTTAAATATGTCCATTAGCTTGAGAAAGGATCACACATGCCCAGATACCGCATGGAGCAAGCTCTGAAACGCATTAAACATTCTTCCTCGTGATGTCATCCCACTGACCCTGTGAAACACCACCTTCATTGTGATCCTGGAAGAGCAGCAGCCACAGCCCCAATGCAAGGCAGGCATTTTAGTTTCATTGGAGTTGGACTTTAATTGTGGCTGGATCATACCTGTCCCACATCCTACAAGAACCTATAAACAATATATTTTTATCTGAATTGGATGTCCATGGCAACAACAGATTCACACTTGCTAAATGCTTTTAGTGGAACCTCAAACAGATTGGAAAACCTGGTCTCATCATAATCATTCCACCCAGATAAGGCAGTGCCCTCCCGAATTTACATCTGGCATCTCCTTGCAGAAGCCTGCACTGGGAGATACAAAGTTAGAAGAATTTGGGGGATTTTAGGCTTATGCCAGGTAGAACTTGGATTTTTAATATAACAAAATTTAAACATATTCCTAAATGCTACTAGGATTCATTTTTAACTACAAACTCAAACTACACAAGCCTTTGAAACAACAGAACCACTAAGCAATTAAGATCTTCAAAAGCAGAGATCACAATACCAGCCTTTCTAGATGGAGGGCAATTTCAGATTTCCAGAATGCTGTAGGCAAAAGCCTGCAGATTGCTTGGGAAACCGGAGAGGGGCCAATGAACTATAAGAAGGGGCCTAAATTAAACAAATGTGTGGTAAGGTTCAAATCTATGGAAACCCCCATAAACAAATGACGCACATTAACAAATAACCTTACTTTGTCATGCTTATGCTTTTCCTTATCTTTGTCTTTCTTTTCCTTTTCTTTTTTCTCTTTTTCTTTGTCCTTTACTTTCTCTTTGTCCTTCTTTTTCTTCTTCTCTTTCTTATCTTTTTTCTTATCCTTCTCCTTTGTTTTCTCTTTTTCTTCTACCACCTTTTCAGGAAGTAATGGTGACATAGAAGGCATCAGAGAAGGCAGCCTGACAGAATTGGGAGTACTTATCGCTGGAACTACATTATCTTTTGGTGTTAGCAAAACAGGTGTCTGTGGTAAAGTTTTTAACTTTTCCTCTTTGTTCTTATCTTTTCCCTTTTCTTTTTTTTCTTTATCCTTTTTATTCTTTTCTTTATCTTTCTTTTTATCCTTATGCTTTTCCTTATCTTTCTTCCCACTGCTTTCCTTTTGCTTTGATTTTAAGTCAGAGTCATTTGCATCCTTTATTTTTAACTTGTGGACATCTGAATCTTCATCTTTGATTGAGTCTTTCCACTGAAGTTTTGAATCTTTGCTACCATCTTTGTCTTTTTCCTTTTCTTTTTTATCTTTGTTCTTTTCCTTGCTCCTTTCTTTATCTTTCTGTTTTTCCTTATCTTTTTTCTTCATCTTCGCTTTTAGTTCTTTCTTTGTCTTCTTCTTTGGCTCTACAGGGGAAGCCAGCTTGGCCTTCTCCTCATGCAGTTTGACAAGTGGTTCAGGAGTAGGAGGGGAGGTTGAAGGAGAAGAGAAACATGGCTGACTGATGGGGTTATTTGATGGTGTTTCTTGGTTGACTTTTCGAATGACCTCATTTATGGAGTCATCCATTGTCCATGAAATATCAGAACTGGAAGTTCCACCTGAACCAGGAAGTGGTGTGCTGCAAGCCTTACCAAGAAGGCTGTTAGAAGCTGACATTTTAGGTGTAGCAGGTTCTGCTATAGTAAGTCTCTTAGGACTAGTAAATACTTCACTCTCAGACTCTGAACCTGATGAAAACTCAAATGGATCAGGCTCTTGCTCAGCACAAGCACGAGCAATTACAGCATCAATAGAATCTTCTATGGTATTATCAGCCACTGATGGCTTCTTAGATGGATTTTCGGCATTTATTTTTTCAGAATCTTGCAAGATTGGATTTTGTTTTACCTGTACGTTATCCTTTCCTATCTTTTCACTTAGTGCAGCTAGTGGTGTGCGATTTGGAGTTTCTGACTTTACAGGCAACTGAACAGTAGCTCCAGCAGCTTTTGGACTCTTGGGGCTCTTAGGACTTTTGGCACGTCCAGGAGATTTCTTTTCTTTTGGACCAGACTTAGGTGACCGTATAGGGCTGCCAAGTACTGCCACCTGTGGTGTGGATTTGGGAGATTTGTTTTTTTTGTCCTGGCGAACCTTTTGATTTCGATTTAGAGGTCACAGTTTTAGATTCTAACGGTTTCGAAGAGGGGGTTTGGGGTTTTAAAATAGGAGACATAGCTAAAGCTTCTGTGACGGGTAGAGCCAATCCTGAACTGTCCTGTATGTGATTGGGTGAAATAATAGGAGGAACCTTTTGAGCATTTATTGAACTAAGTGGTTCTCGTGGTTCTAATGTTCCATCTAAAATATCGCCTTTAGCGTTCATTAATCGTTGGCGTTTTGCAAAAGGCATTTCTTGGATTTCTGGACTCTCCAAGGGTCTTTTATGCAAAAAGTTTTCATCATTAATGGTTTCATTATCATCCATTTCTCCTTCTTCAAGAGGAACTTGCATAGCTTCGGCTGATGTCCCGCCATCTGTAGGCACTTGCTCCTCTTCTTCCTCTGTAAGAGACAGGAAGAGAATCATTATGATGTTTGCTAAACAAAATAAAAGCAGACAAAAACATGAGGAAAATGGACTAAAACATCTGAATGGCAAGCCAGATGACATATGTAATACCTTCAAGGACCTTGAGAAAAAGGACTGCTACAGGTGTGTATGAAGTGAAAAAAATATGTTTTAGCCTCACCATTTTTCCTCTATGCTGACTAGTCGTTAAAAAAAAAAACCTCAGTTTATTGCACCTAAGATGCAAAAATATCATAAAATAAAGTAAATAATGGAGTCAATAATGTCTTAAAGGAGTTCTATGGTTGCAGCACACACTTTCATTTTATAATTTCAACATTGTTATAGCAATACAAACAATAGTTATTTTTAACTATCCAATATAATAAAAAAAAAAATTTCCTTTCAAGTTATAATTCTGCCTTTCTGCTGGCCATCTCTTTCCACAACTTTCTGGATTCCCTGCATGCTTTGCAGCTTTTTCTCAGTTTACTTTTAATTTTTAACCACTTGACGTATAGAAGATCTTACCCCTTTTATGTCCAATGCACTTTTTTGCTAATCAGCACTATGCTACTTTAGCTGGCAATTGTGCGGTCAGCAACATTGTACGCATATGACATTTTTATCTTTTTTTCACATAAATAGAGCTTTCTTTTGGTGGCATTTGATCAGCACTGGGCTTTTTATCTTGTACTATAAAAAAAAAAAAACCTGAAAGTTTTGAAAGAAGAAATATATTTTCTAATTTCTGTTACAAAACATATCCAATAAAACATTTTTAAAAAATCAAAATTTCTTCACAACTTCAGGCCGAAATGTATCCTGGTACATTTCTTTGGTAAAAAATCCTAATAAATGTATACTAATTAGTTTTTGTGCATTGTATTGCAGAACGAATACAACATGCTGTATCTGTCATAGATGTACTGCTATAAAAACCAGTGTGGAAATATAGAGACTTTTGGCATTGCTAACAAATACAGATGCCAGCAATTCATATTTGCATGTACTCAACAGCTAAGATTGCTGCATACACACAAACACACACCAAGAATGCCACCCAACATTATGAATGGACTAATATATATGGTAATGCTGTTATATCACAAAGGCAGAAGGCCCAGATAACAGCAATAGGTTTCTATGACTACACACCAGACCAGGATGTTTACAGGAACTGGCTGCTGACACCACATGAGAATTTAAAGCACCTGGTTATTTATGATATAGTTTATGATAAAGGATACATCCACCCATTTCCCTGCCTGGCAGATACAATAAATTGGCCTCGTAAATCATCTCATTTGTGCCATTTGTGATTATAGTAACACACCAGGCACAAGTTTAGGAGGAGTAATATCTTTCAGGACAACAGAGTGCACACACTTTCTTGGCTTACAGATAAATATAAATCATACTGGCGTGTCTCGAATAAGTGTCTGTATTGCTCTGGAAATGACAGCTGGAGAATGAAAGTGTGAACCTGATTGGTAGATGTGTGTGGGCGCTCAGGCTGTGTTTACACTGTTGCCGCATGTTAAAGGGTAAAAATAGGCTGCCTAATGCACCAAGAGAGGTGCATGCCCCATTGTTTGTAATGCAGCACACTGCATTCGGCAGTTCAATACTGCGAGTTGGGGTGCCTTTAAAAATGAACGGTACGCATCGCACCAACGCGTTTTCACGCAATACTGCAGTGCGACACGGTAAACCTGGCTTAACGTGTTCTGAGATACATTGATAAATAATACTCATATTCAAGCCTATTAGGCCCCATGTACATCGAACACTTCTGAACGATGGAAACTGACTGCTGGAAAATGTAGGTTTTAAAAAACATCTGTTTAGCCATGTTTGCATACCGTGTTTATGTGTGTTTTTTAAAGATAAGCACAGGAGAACCTCCCAAATGCCCAGAATGCACTGAAAAATGGTAAATTATTAACTATTTCAGACTGTTTCAGAGAAATACAGAGAAGCAGAGAGAGCAGTATGTGTTGAAATTAGCTTAGGTGGGAGTTGCTCATTAACATTTCTTTTGTTTCCAAGGGTGGGAAGGTGTCTGGTGGAGTGAGTCACTAAGGCCACCTGGCAGGGGGTCTTCATGAGGAATTCGAGGTGTGAATGGTCATTAACATATCTTTTGTTTCCAAGGGTGGGAGAGGTCTGAGGTGTGAATTGGTCATTACAATGTGTGACAAGCTTGGTAGGAACATCCTGTGTTCAGTGTTTTGTCCATCTGGAAGAGCCGCATTTACAAGAGTTTTGCGTTTATAACGCTGATAAAATCAACTGCTGAACGCAAGTTCTCTGCGTTCAAAAAAACAACTGTAAACTCAAATGCATGTAAAAGACTGTAAAACGAAGATGTGTACATGGACACATAGGAAAACATTAGGGAGAGGTTAGGGGCTGCTGAAAAAAATGCTGAACAACAGCTCCTAAAACTTGAGTTTAGCAGCTGCAGTGTACATAAGCCTTTATACTCACCCAAAGAACTAGGAAAGCAAAAAAAAGTATGCTGAACTTGTTCAGATCTGCAAAAACTGAGGATAGCTGAAGCTTTCAGAAGGCCGTCAGATGTCCAGATACAATAAGACAGATCATATGCCACTGAGAATCAACTTAAGCCGGCTATAGATGGATCGAATCTCGGCCGGTTCAGCAGGGACCAACTGTGATTCGAGTCATCTATGAGCAGGCTAGTTGTACAGAAGTCGATCGATCGGCTTCAGTACAACCAGCCCGTCAGATGTTTTTTCATACGATCACTACTGGCAGCTATAGCACCAGCAGTGATAATTGTGTTCTGCCAGCAGGGAAGGCTCCCTTCATGCAGAACACAAAAGCTGCTCTGGAAGGATTTCTCTCATCACCACTGACTGTGTTGAGGGGAAAATCAAGCGAAACAAAATTGCATAATCTATGGCTTGCCTTACACAACTAGATCAGCTAAGTATACAGGTTTATAATAACAGAGGGGTATGGAAAAGGAGCTGGTACCAGTTTATCATCATTTCACTGCAATTTATTGTTTCCCCTAACAGTTGCTGGTAAGCAGTATCTGTGCACACCCCTATAGACCGCTGCCTGGTCTGGCAAAACACAGCAGAACTAGTCATGCAATGGTCATCCCAGTTATGAGTACCTTTAGTACAGCTGAAAAGTTTGCTAGCCACCCTGGTTCAAATATAGGCAAATTCGGAAGTGTTTCAAATCACTCCAATTCACATGACATGTGAACCAAAAAGGGTCAACTGTGGAGGACGCTCACAAATGTGTGGACCAGCTGCAGTAAGATTTGTAAGAGTCCTGCGCCATTTTCAGTCCGGTTCAGGTGTCCGGTTCCAATGTCATATACTTTAACAATTTGCACTGGAATTGCACCTGAACCACTGAATGGAATTGCACCGTACTCTTTTACATATCATACTAAAAACCGGCCCCACACATGTGAGTACAAGCTTTGAGACTGAAAGCACACACACACATGTACACATACAAAGCAATTTACATGCAGTATGAATGGTATGCATCATTTGTATGAGTTTTTTTATATTGCATGGCTTTCTTTTAGATACGGCTTTGATATGCTACTTACAGTATGAAAGAAGCATCAATAAAACCATTCTAAGGCAGACCACAGTGCATCTGAAACCACTTCTAAAGTCTACTGCATAATCTAAAATGTTGAGTTTGCCATACACTGGGATTCTTTTTTGTTCAGCCTGCATGAACAAAAAAGTAACAGATACTTCCATCCACAATATACAGTATAGGGGGGGCAAACCTGCAGTGCCAGCTACCTTATTTTGACAGCGCCAGCAGCTATCGAAAAAACCCAAAAAATGGCAGCATCTGATTGGATGGAGCTGCTGTTCAGTGACAATTTTCCACCTAGCTCCTTTGATCCTTCAGTTAAAGGATGGAGGGATGGAGAGTGCCGACAGGGCCACCCACATAGCAAATTTTGGAAAGTTCATCAGCAGTGGTTTTTGTAATCAAACACATAATTTATGCAGGCCATACATGGGTCGAATTACGAACAAATTTTCTTTAGAAAATTGGAAATTTTGTGCATTTTGTAATCGGATGGTGCCACCATTGATTTCGAAATTCAAGCAACAAAGCCTTCAATTTCACTGCATGTTGCTACAGAAAAGAATTTTCGTGGCCAAGAGTTTTCTATTCTTTCCAGGTCACAGCTCACGCTCAGTTCTTTTTCATTTATGTTTCCCACACAATTCTCCTATCATTGATTCGAAATTTGTTCATTTTTCAAAAAATTTCCAACATGCCCGATCACTCAAATTCAATGGTCACACGAAAAACGGCCATTTCTGTGACCCACTGATGGTGTGAAATTCAAATGAAAACTCTTAGAAAAGATTTTTCAAAAATTCTTTTGGAATTCGGCTCGTGTATGGTCAGCCTAAGGCAGTATTAAACTGAAAACCAAAAATGTAATATACTGCAACTTAATCAAAGTGGTTGCTGCACTGGCTCTCTCTTTTTTTTTCTGCATTCACCTAATGATCTGGCCAGTAACACCTCCTGTATTAGAAAGTCTACACTCTGGCTATATGTATTACCACTGCTCAAGGTCGAGAGACCCCCAATATCCAAGCACAACTCCTCTTGTAGGTCCTAGCCCAGCTCGTGAGCTGCATAAATGAGAGAACAAAGGACATCCGATCGGCTGCACTCCAAACAATACACTTTATTGAACCAAGATAAAACCAATACAGACAGTGGAAATACAGTGGGGGACTGGCAGGTAAACGCGTTTCATCATTACCCTTACTGTCTGTATTGGTTTTATCTTGGTTCAATAAAGTGGATTGTTTGGAGTGCAGCCGATCAGACATCCTTTGTTCTCATCTACACTCTGGCTAGAAGAGCACAGGGGGCACAGCAGAAAGCAGCATTGTCAGTCTAGTGGGGGGTTAAATATACTAGCAGATTTAGATGCACTAACAAACTGAAGCCTAACTCCAGCTAACACTTTA